TCTGTAGCTCAGCTGGTAGAGCATGGCGCTTGTAACGCCAAGGTAGTGGGTTCGATCCCCGGGATCACCCATACACAAAACAAACAAAAATAAATAAATAATAATAATATGTATGCACGCATGACTGTAAGTCGCTTTGGATAAAAGTGTCTGCTAAATGGCATATTATTATTATTATTATAAACTTGGCAGTTGCCCATGTTTCTTCAACATTCATTCAACCAATTCATTAACATTATTCATTATACTTTCTTTGGGAGAATAAAAACAAAAGGATAATTGACACGTGATGATATTGTTGCCCACATTGACAACACATATTTTTCAATTCATATATCAATTTCTCCATTATCATGCCTTAATAGGGCAAAAGTGAATAAAATTAGAAAAAGAATGGAGAGAGCAACGGAAATTAAAGTACTGTGTGCTTACAATTTCAGCGTAATAGACTGTATGACATTTGGTCTCTCACAGTCTTTTTTCAAATATGGCCTATTTATATTCTTCCCACCCACTCAGCCATTTTAGCCTATCGGCTGGGGAGCATTCAAAGAGAATTGTCCAGATCATAGCAATCCTCATGTTGTCCGGTTCACCTGTCAGTTTGTTACTTAAAAAAGGTGTCATGGCTATAGCCTACAATATATATTATTGTAATTTAGGCTGCATAGGCTATAGTCATTAAAGCAGCATTTTCCAAACTCATTTTTGGTTGTTGCCCTAGCACTACACATTAGAATAGTAAAAGCTTGATGATGAGTTCGTTATTTGAATCAGCTGTGTAGTGCTAGGGCAAAAACCAAAATGTGGACTGAGTTTGGGAAACGCTGTATTAAAGTATTATTCATTTAGACTGCCTGAGTGGTGCTGTGATTGTCTTTCCAATAGGCGTGTGAAATAAGGCATTAACAACATATACCTTTCTCTTTTGTCTTTGATGTGGTGGGGTGTAATAGTCCATCATTCACCTCATTTCAGTAGTCTAAACACTTCAATAGTCCAGTGCCCCATCTGTCATACATAGTCTCTTGAGATGCTGTCCTGTAGTCTATACAGGTCCTTCATTGCCATTTCCACCGTTCGCCTTGTCCAGCTTATCCAGGAATCGGGTAGCTTCTTTTGCTGATTTCAGTGTGATGTCTCTCTTTTCTTTCATTTGACCTGTAGTTGTGTTGGGTACACCAGAGTGAACTCGATTCATTTTTCCATTAGCTTTTTCTTAATGGGGTCGAATTCTCTGTGTTTCATGTAGTCTCTGCTCATGACGGTGTTGATGTAGATCTGATGGCCCTCATACATCAAAGGTCCTACTCTTGACTTTTGTGCTTGGATAGCCAGTCTTATAACTTTTTTCTTTGTCCCTATATTTAAGGAACTTTGCAATGATGCCCCTTGGTTTGCTGCTGGTGTCCCCTCTCGGGCCGCCTTTTCGATATGCTCGTTCGATTGTGTGAGCCCATGTGAAGTTCTCTTAGCCCAGTTTTCCTAGTTGTGGTATTATCTTTTCCAGGAATTCTTCAATTCCGGTTTGTTGTGCTCAGTAATATGATGTCGTTGCTCAGTTGAGTATTGAATACTGTTGCCTTAAGAATGTATCAGGCACGTTGTGCACTTACGGAGGCGTGAGGATTGTATGAGTGAGTTTTCTACGAGTTGTTAACATGTTGATATGAAGTAAAGACGTTCAGTTTAATTGCACAACAAGCCTCCGTGTATTTGTAACAAGTTTGTTCAACAGCTTTCGAGAAAATGTATGAAACAAAGATTTGAACGGCGATTGAAGTCCTCCATCCCGCCCCATAATTATGTATTTTTGTTCAGCCATGGTTTTCTGGAGCTTTTCTTGAGTGATTTTCTCCAGGGTTAACCCGGTGTCAGGCCTCCTACACAGTGGCGTCATTAGGCCTGGGTAACCATTTCTTCTTCTTCTTCTTCTTCTTCTTCTTCTTCTTCTTCTTCTTCTTCTTCTTCTTCTTCGTTAAAGTTTCATGGCAGATCACATCTATTGATGTATTGCCGCCACCTACTAAACGGTGTATTGAAACAAAACATATTCCATTGTGGGAAGAGGGGGTGGGGAGGCACCTTAATTGGGGAGGACGGGCTCGTGGTAATGGCTGGAGCGGAATAAGTGAAATGGTATCAAATACATGAAACACACAGTGGCAAATTTTGCATGTAAATCTTTTTGTGGCAAACAAAAAATGTATTTTAGATGCATGCCAGCAAAGACACTACACAACACAACACTAAACAATACATTAATTGCACTATAACGGTGACAAACGGTACCCACAAACTGTTAGGGCCTACATAAAGCTGTCCCAACAGCAGAGTCCCAACAGCAGTCCCAACACCTTACCACTGCTACACCTGGCAATCAGCAGAGCCTTGTCTGGCAGCGAAACAGTTCATTCAGCCTCATTTACTGCCTTAAAAAAAAACATAGCTGATATGGCTTAAACAAACATGGTTTCTACTGACAACTGAGATGTACAAACTATGGCGTAAGGGGACGACGAGCGGATAAGAGGCAATCCGTAGTTTTGATTAAGCCATTAATGAGTGAGCTAGGACGGACGTAGTCAATACAACTATTTGTTCAGCACTTTTGAAATGTTCAGCGACAGAATTCAGAAAATGGGCCGTTCTTACAGTATTATCCCTGTACACCAAGTCAGAACCGTAGGATAAATAAAGGGGGCATATAAGCAAACAATGAAAGCTCTTACAATATTCGATGATTACATTTCTCTAAAACAGGCTATAGGCTACATATGCACCACCAAGTCAGAACAGTAGGCAAAATTAAGAGGGGGGAAAAGGGACCAAATTTATTAGGGTGAGGCACATGGGCTACTAACAGCTTACTACACAACATACACTTAGTATTACTTTCTTAGCTTCAGTATACATATCTCCCAGGCATATTACATCATTTATGCAGCAGCATACAATACATTTTTGGACTCACCTTGTTGTGCTGTGTTTACTTGAACAGGAAGGTGGCGCGGCGGTCCTTCATCAAAGTCTGGCATTCTCTGGATTTATGGTGCTTTCAAGACAACTGGGAACTCTGAAAAACACGAATCATGATGACTTCAGTGATCTTCAGGTTGGAGCTCTAGAAAGAGGCCCGAGTTCCCGACTTGCAATTCCGAGTTGGGTGACCGTTAAAAACATATTTTCCCAGTCAGAGCTCTTTTTGTTCTGAGTTCCCAGTTGTCCTGAACTCTCTGAAGTCAGATTTCCCAGTTCTGAGTTTACAGTTCTATTGAGCGCGGCAGAAGTCATGCTGGATTGACAGCACTGCCAATGTTGAATGTTTATGCTTTTAAGCTTGGAAAAGATACCCTTAAACCCAGACTTGGAACCACAAACACACTCAACTGAATAGCAGGCTAGTGATTGCTTTGCAATGCTTGCAGTTAGCCATTAATTCCTTCCAAACCACTCATTGTTGAATTTGCGATGTCCAACTTGTTGTGTAAGGTTTATGTTCAATGGCCGATGAGCACCGATACGTTTTATCTATAATTTCTCTTCATTATTTCTCTTCATATGACAAGTATTAAAAAGCATTTGCCAGTAGATTGTCGACTTGATTCATGATGATGACTGCTAGCTAAGATTTTGAAAGTATGATGTTGACATGATCAGTCCAATCAAAGGTACTGTAGATATAACGTGATTTGACATAATTTTATCTGTGGCCAATGACCTTGAGCCTTCTTGGATGGGCACTTCTAATGTAACTCTATGGCAGCACCCAAGGGGCTTGAATTTTCGAGCTCTACCCTTAGATTTGGTGGTGACGTAGTGTCCCCATGAGTGACAGAACACTGAGCCAATCACGGTGCAACTAGAGAACATAACCCAATCACAGCGCAACTAGAGAACATTACCAACCCCTACGCTCCATATTTTCCGCTGGCTGCCCCACCACCACAGAAAGCACTGAGCTAGGCTGAAACAGCTGCAGAAAGCAAAAAAGAGACCAAGTTTGTATGCTGCTTTATTAACTGAATGATTATTTTTATATTTTTTTACATTGTTTGCAAACTGATATGTGACACATATTAATGTCAAAATAACATTGTTTGCAAACTGATATGTGACACATATTAATATCAAAATAACATGCAAAACAGGAAACCCTAAAAAGGTGGGGCTCAAAACAGGTGGGTCTCTGCCCCACTTGCCCTGAATGACGGGTCTCCACTGCAATCACATGGTTTACATTTGTTGGATGCCATTCCATTCGCTCCGTGTCAGCCATTATTATGAGCCGTCCTCCCCTCAGCAGCCTCCACTGCTGTCTAGCAATAATCAACAATCAACTTGACAGAGCTTGAAGAATTCTGTGCAAATATTGTACAATCCAGGTGTGCAAAGCTCTTAGAGACTTACCCAGAAAGACTCACAGCTGTAATCGTTGATTATAACATGTATTGACTCATGGGTGTGAATACTTATGTATATTAGTAAACACTTCTAAAAACATGTTTTCGCTGTCATTAAGGGGTATTGTGTGTAGATGAGTGAATCAAAACTTTAAATGCTTTGCCCATGGTGAAATTTGCGAAAGCCGGGTGGGGGGGGGGTTTTGCCTCCCCAGAATTCTACAGTATTTCAATAAAATATTTCAAGGACACAATTTCATGTATTTAAGTAGTTATTTGTTGTGGTGTGGACAGTAACATTAACTCTCTCTTAATATTTTATTTTCATGTTCGGTTCACTTAATATAAATTTAAAGTATGCATTAAGGTGTCTGTAATAGAACATGTTTGTCAATAAACGAATGTAGACATGAATAAATGCATTTCTATAGCTTCCAAAATCTTTTTTACAATGAATAAGGAGTACCAAAATGGCTGTGCGGTGGCTTCAAAACAGTGCCCCATTTGAGTCATCTAAGTTTATTACACATCATGGTCTCCGTCCTCTTCTATGAAATCGATTTGCACTGTATTTGCTCTAACAGTCTTGAAGTCAGCATGGACATGAATGTGTCAGCGCGTTGTGCTTTGTTTTTATTTCTGTTGGCATTTGTAGATTTGAAAATAGTCTCTGCGGCAGAAACGGGAGGAACATCTACAGGTGAGTTGTGACAATTTGCTGAGTTTTTTTAAGAAGCCTACTACACTTGACTTAGGTGTTATAGCCTACCTATGTGGTTAGAAACACTAGCCTATAATAGTGCATAGGCCCTTTTGCAACCTATTTTGTTGCTATCTTACTAAAAATTCAAGCCAGCCATTATGACTTAAAACAATCCAGCCTACACTTGGCAATTTTACGGCCATTTTATGCATACAATGTAATTTTTAAAATAGTTATTTCAACTAATTATTATTCAGTAACTGGTTCCACAGCCATTTTAAGTTTACTCAACTTTTCGATCAAAGTGTTACCTGAACATAACATTTCTAATTGTCCAAACTTAGCTCCAACTTGAGAAAACTTATGCAAAAATTCAGTCAACATAAAATGATGTGTTTGTTCAACTTGTCTCATATGTTCTGTAAACTAGAAGTTATTATTTGGGCATCTTAAAGCACTGTTTGTGTGTCTGTGTATAACCAGTTGCACAGACCTTTTTAGTTAACATACAATGTTTGATTGTGAGTGTTCAGAAGGCTGTCATGCATTTTCAAGGGTGGTATTTACATTTACATTTTAGTCATTTAGCAGACGCTCTTATCCAGAGCGACTTACAGTTAGTGAGTGCATACATTATTTTATTTTTTTCATACTGGTATGGGTAAACATTGATGATGGGGGCCAAATGTCTCCAAAATGATTAATTTGACACTAAATTATTTAGGGTATAGTCTACAATCTTTCCAGAGATGCAAATGCCGACTTATCGTAACCATCTCCACACAAACATGACAGATTTTCAGAAAATGGTTCAGTCTAATTATGTCCATGTTCATGTCTCTTTGTGGAAAGTTGGGTTCCTTGACATGTCTGTTCAAATTGTGTTCCCAAAGCAAAGCCTGGAGTGTGCCCTCGTACACGATGGGGCATAGGGCTATGTGTAAATATATGTTCCACTGACAGTGACTGCCCCAATGATGAAAAATGCTGCCACAATGGATGTGACTGCATTGCACCTTACACAGGTAGGTTATGGTCCCAAAGTGACAGATACACCCGTCCATTGCATTAATTATTGCTGCTTTACTCTGGAAACAAGAAAGCTGGAGCTTGTAAAGTACATTTCATACACATAGATCAGTATATTTCACATCCACTCTCTTTAGAGCTGAGACACTCAATTAAGAAGATTTCCAAGAGCCATGCAGGCTTATTGAGTCTATATTAATGACCCTGAGCATTCCAGCCATAGAATTAGAAAGATTCCATGTCATTGTAATAGTAAGACTTCAATGGGAAGAGTCAGTATAGGCTGACAAGTTGCTACCATAAACCTATTTGTAATGATGGGGAAATGTAAGATCGCTAAAGTTCATATTTAGTTTAGAGTGATCAACACAATGTTTAACATATACTGTTTCTGTACCACACATAATTTCCAGTGTTCTACTTATGAAACTCAAGGTGTGGGTTGATGGTCACTAGACTTGATGCTGAATGTTATGGATTGTTCTCATATCTGTTGATAGTGATTGACGCCAGACTGGAGGTCCAAGTATAAGGACCGAGGACACACTGATTATTCACTGTTGTATTGTATTGATGACATTCTGTGAACACTGTGTGATTCTGTAGCTCCTACAATTGCAAATGCCTATTTATCGTAACCATCTCCATACAAATATGACAGATTTTCAGAAAATGGTTCAGTCTAATTATGTCCATGTTCATGTCTCTTTGTGGAAAGTTGGATTCCTTGACATGTCTGCTCAAATTGTGTTCCCAAAGCAAAGCCTGGAGTGTGCCCTCGTAGACATTCGGGCAGAGGGATATGTATAGAGTTATGTTCCAATGACAGTGACTGCCCCAATGATGAAAAATGCTGCTTCAACGGATGTGGGCATGTCTGCATTGCATCTACACAGGTAGGATATGGACACAAAGTGACAAATACAGACATCCATTGCATCCATTATTTCTGCATTACTCTGGAAACAAGAAAGCTGGAGCTAGTAATGTACATTTCATGCATATAGATGGATATATTTCACATACACTCTCTTTAGCGCTGTGACACTAAATCATATCCCGTTCAAAGGCACTTCAATCTTTTGTCTTGCCCATTCACGCTCTGAATGGCACACATACACAATCCATGTCTCAATTGTCTCAACACTTAAAAATCCTTCTTTAACCTGTCTCCTCCCCTTCATCTACACTGATTGAAGTGGATTTAACCAGTTATATCAATAAGGGATCATAGCTTTCACCTGGATTCACCTGGTCAGTCTATGTCATGGAATGAGCAGGTGTTCATAATGTTTTGTACACTCAGTGTATAACACATTGTGGTTGATAAGGTGATGCAAATGCATATTTCAGGGAAAGGGAATTTGGGAATATATAATAATAATATAATATGCCATTTAGCAGACACTTTTAGCCAAAGCGACTTCCTGTCATGTGTGCATAAATTTTTACGTATGGGTGGTCGCGGGGATCGAACCCACTACCCTGGCGTTACAAGTGCCATGCTCTACCAATTGAGCTACAGAGGGATAGCAACATATGCTACTTACTATACAGCAATTCACAGAACATTAAGATGACAATTTGTCAAGGGCCACCAACAAGATTCCAACTCATTGTAATAGTAAGACTTCAATGGAAAGAGTCAGTGTACGGATTATTTCCAGAGTTCTACTTGTGACACTCAAGGTGTGGGTTGATGGTCACTAGACTTGATGCTGAATGTCATGGATTGTTCTCATATCTGTTGATAGTGATTGACGCCAGACTGGAGGTACAATGGCAGAGGACACCCTGATTATTCACTGTTGTATTGTATTGATGACATTCTGTGAACACTGTGTGACTCTGTAGCAGCTGACAAAGTCACTGCATGTTTGTTTTGACTTCCTACAAGCCTCTAGAGCTGGAGTTTACAGAACATTTGGTGCTGTCTGATTAGAATATAAAGGGCCTGTCTCCAAGAAGCCAGTTAGACATTTTCTCTGTTTTTGTCCTGGAAGTGTCTCCCTGTTGCAACTTGTAATAAACATTAATGAAAAATTATTATTATTAACCCATCCACGTCTTCGAAGGACACATATCTTTTTTGGTTTTTACAGCTTTTCATACATACATTTTACACATACATTTTACATACATTTTACTTTTATATGGATAGATTTATTATGGATAGATTTGATTGACTTAATCTGCTACTTTCTCGTTTGTTTACCTAGAAATTCCTATTACACCTATGTTTCTACGGTGTAACTGACCGCTTTTTCTCTGTTACCATAGTGAAGCCCGGTCGCTGTGCCCTGCCCAAGGGGACCTAGATGTGTGCCGAGTACTGTTACCAAGATGGCCATTGCCCCGAGGAACAGAAGTGTTGCCGGATATTCTGATGCTACGCCTGCAGTGAGCCATTGGAGCTTTATTGGAAATTCTTATTAATTTATAAGAAAATACAAATTATTACATGTAAAATTATGTCTAGGAAAACTAATGATTTTATGCAATAATAAATACGAAAAATGATCAGAGCTTTATGGAAACCAGACAAATTTCGTGGACAGTTTGTGAATTGACAAACACGTGGACTGCTGAATTTGAATAAAACAAGATTTTGAACATCAGTGCTTGTTTTTTTAGGGGTTTCTTTGAGACTCATGTGGTGCTCATGTGAATATCCTTAATTTTTCGTCTTCAGACCAATTCCTATTTTTACACCGGAAGGTGATTATGCAACATTATAATAGAACATTATAATACAGTTGAACACATGCTCTCCTTATGAACCTTCACAATGTTGTGCGTTTTATTTATTGATAAGATCCCAGCTCATAATCCGACTGATCATTTCTCAAAGCAAATTGGTGAGAGCAAGGAAACAAAGACCGAAGCAAATATTTACTATGCGATTACACAATGTAGCTGGCTAGATGACTACAGGAGCGCAAAATATGGCTGAGCTGTTCTCAATGGAAGGGTTCTGAAATATTCTCTCTCGTCAAGGTGTGATCATTAATATATCATAGTCATCCACCTCGTTGGAAACGACTTGGGACACACAAAGGGGACAGCCCTGGTGCGTCAGATGCGAGCTGATTTGGAGGTAGTCCGAATGTTCCCCGGGACAATGGTGGGCTACTCTGACATCACACAGTGGAGGAGTTGGCTGTTCCTCCATGACAGGTGCATGTCCACAATCCACCACTTTGCCATAAATCCCTGTGTCCCTGGGCAATACCGTAAGGCAGGGTTTCCCAAACTTTGTCCTGGGGCCCCTCCTGGGTGCACATTTTGGTTTTTGCCCTAGCACTACACAGCTGATGCAAATAATCAAAGCTCGATGATGAGTTTGTTATCTGAATGAGATGTGTAGTACTAGTGAAAAAACCCAAAATGTGCACCCAGTGTTACCAATGGTAACAACCATTCCTGGACCTGACTCCAAAAACAAGCCACTGATGTACCAAAAGAGATGCTCTATTGATTCTGTTTCCTTGTGGCAGTCTGCACAGGGCTGACTGTTCAATGCCCCATATACTGAGCATTCTTTTTGTAGCGAGAATGTTATATAATAGCTTAAATTGAAAAGAACGGATTGATGCTTCAATTGTTACTTTGTATATCACTTCATAAATCTGATGCCATGGTATTGGGATATGGAAAATCTGTTCCCAACTATCTTGAATTTTATGCGGCATAGTTGTCAACCCTCTTGACCATAAGAGAAACTGATACATTTTACGATTTATATTGCTCATTTTAAGACATTTACGATTAATTCATTCCTTTCTCTTTTAAGTAATTGCCTCTTCCATTTTTGTGGCAGAGCTGCGATGAACTGGTTATAATTTTGTATTGAGCATTCATTTCCTTACACCGTGATTAATTGCTTGTGTGACATAATTTTACCTTTGTTGTTTACAATGTCATTCATAAACATGATACCTTCCTTATACATTCTCTACAAGAAAATCGCTTTTTCCTCCATCAGTACTTTGGAGATTAGCCATATTATTTGCTGTAATATAGCCTACATTCTGCCTCCTCTGGAGGATAACATTTAAATAGTAGCCAACTCTGTATGGCTTCATTTAAAAAGGTACAACGGGGTTCCATTTAAATCCAGGGAAATGAATGGTTTTAATCTATTAAAAGCAGGAGACCCCTTTCAAACTGGGATGTGCCTTTTTTAGTACCCCTACTGGAACACAGTTTGGTTTTTTCTACTTTTAGGTATAAAACTTTTAGAGAGAGGTTTAATGACTTTAAATTTTAAATTTTTGCCCTCCAAACCCTATAAATTAATTGGTTCCTTCCAAAAAAAATGAAAAATTTTTGCTCACTAAATTTAACAATATTTCCTGGGGTTTTTATCACCCCGTGATCAAGCCAGTATCGGTCCTCCTCTCTGACGAAGTCGGGGACATGAAGTGGAAATAGGCCAAGGGCAAAAAGTGAAACTGTTACCCTTTTAATAGGTTTTGGGTTTTTCTAGGGTTGTGTAAGCATCTGCCTTGTTCAAAGGTTTCATGTTCGAATCCACTTTTGAAATTGTTCTTGATATTTTTTTTTTAAGCCTACCCAAACTTTAACCCTTACCTTTTGGGGTTATGCCCAAACTTAACCTTTAAAAAACTTCCAAAGTACATTTGGAACAAATTCGAAATTTTAAGTTTGGAAACGTGGATGAAAATCTAATTCTGATTGAGACTTTTAGAGTGGTGGAATAATATTTTTAGTGCGGAAAAAATGCTGAGATGCGTGATACAAAAAATCCGCTGAACTGTCCTCGATTATAATTATTTATTACATTGAAGATTTCAGCGCCAATTTACAGACTCTGCAGACATCTGGAGAACAACTGGCCCAATCTCTTAATATGTTATTCTCCCCTCCTTTGTCCCAACCAAGTATATATATCCTATGTAACCTGATAGGGTGTTTTCCCCCACAGACCAATCCCAGGACGCCACATAACGACTTCCCTGTTTTAGGTGCCCCTATAGAAATGCTCTCCAGATGCTTCCTCAAGCTGAGTCAACATCCTCTAAGACCCCATCTGCAAACGTCAGCAAAGTCATAAATTGTCTAGATACTACATATTTCCCCCCTTCGAGACTAACTAAGTCTCGAAAACAAAAATAATAGGATTATGACAAATAACAATTTCTCTTATTGAGTAACTTTAGCATAAACCAAATTTTATGGAGAGTAAACACATTTTTCTATGGAGTGTAAATACATTTCTATGAAATATGAACAAATCTTTGGAGTGTGAGAGCGAAAAACCTGTCTGGCAGCTTTCTTTCCAAATACAGTGGGGGAAAAAAGTATTAGTCAGCCACAAATTGTGCAAGTTCTCCCACTTAAAAAGATGAGAGAGGCCTGTAATTTTCATCATAGGTACAACGTCAATTATGACAGACAAATAGGAAAAAAATCCAGAAATCACATTGTAGGATTTTTAATGATTTATTTGAAAATTTGGGGGAAAAAATAAGTTTTTGGGTCAATAACAAATTTTCCCAAATACTTTTTTAATCCCTTTGTGGAAATGACACAGTCAAAGTTTTCTGTAAGTTTTTCACAAGGTTTTCACCACTGTTGCTGGTATTTGGCCCCATTCCTCCAGCAGACCCTCAAGTTTTTATTTTTGGGGGGCTGTCCGGGGCAACCAACTTTAAACCCCCTCCAAAATTTTCTAGGGGTTTTTAGACTGAGCCTGGCTAGGGCCAGTCCAGACCTTAAATGCTTCTTAAACCACTCCTTCGTTGCCCGGGCTTTTTTTGGAATTGTCGCTAAAAACCCCACAGTTTTCCATCTTCAATGGGGCCCTTTGATAAAGTTTTTCCTCAAAATTACATCGGCCCCATTCTTCTTTCCTTTACACGACTTCGCCGGGGCCCTTTCCGAAAAAAAAAAAGAAAAAGGGGGGGGGGGGAGGGAAAGATTTTTTAAAAGAGGGGAAAGAAAAAGAGGGGTTTTAAAAAATATAAAATTTTAGGGAAAAAAAAAAAAAGAGGGGGGGGAAAAGTATGGGAAGGGGGGGACACTCTGGCCCTGCAGGATTTGAGTCCCTGGGGGCTATGTGTTCTGATGGTGGGCTTTGTTACTTTGGTCCCAGCTCCCCCTGCAGGTCATTCACTAGTCCCCCCGTGTGGTTCGGGGTTTTTGCTCCCCTTTCTTGTGATCTTTTGCCCCACGGGTGAATCTTGCGTGACCCCAGATGGGGGGATTATCATGGTTTTTTTAGTCTTCCTTCCAAATAATTGCCCCCACGTTGATTTTTTCTTCAAACCAAACGCTTACCTTTTCGATTCAGTCTTCCCACCTGGTCAGGTCTCAATTTTTTTTCTTTTGGGGGTCCTTTGACAGCTTTTTGTTTTGGGGCCATAGGGGAGTTTGAGTTGACTTTTTTGGGGTTTGGGGACGGTGTCTTTATACTGAAAACAAGTTAAAACGGTGCCATTAAAAGGGTAACGTTGGAGGACAGAGCCCCTTAAAAAAATTTACGGTCTGTGAAGCCAAAATCTTGCTTTTTTTGTAGGTGACCAAAACTTATTTTCCACAAAAATTTTGCAAAAAAATTCTTTAAAAAATCCTAAAAATTTTGATTTTCTGGAAAAAACATTCTAAATTTTGTCTTAAATTTTGACGGCCTTGATGAAAATTACGGGCCTCCTCTTTTTTTTTAAAGTGGGAGAACTTGCAATTGGGGGCTGACAAATTTTTTTTTTCCCCCCACTGTTCAATCAATCAATAAAGACAGTAAATTCTCTCAGGGCCCCTCGGCCCCGGCCCCACTTATACTTCGATCATTCATAAATCTTTATAAATGCTTTTAATTAGAAAATTGAAACACTAAACCTCAGAAAACAAATACAATCAATTTTGTCCACATTCGGGGCTATGGGGGCCCTGGACCCTCCTGGGGTTCTCTCTGTCCCTGCCAAACCCCAAATATCCCAAAGCTAAACGAAAAAAACCAAAAATCTAATCCCCACTGCTCCAACTACAGAAATATCATTCTTCAAAAATTAATACAAAAAAGAAAAAGATTATGTATTACCCCGCAAATTTCTATAATCTTGCAGACACGGGAATTAGCCACTACCTTATCCCCACAGGTCGACTTTCAATAAATCATGGGGGAATCTGAACATTTCCACACCTTCCTTGTTCCCTTCCTCCCCCATTCTATTGTCCATGTTTGGTATTGAATCCCCCTACACATACCCCAAGGCTTCGGGAAAAAAAAAAAAAAACCAAAAACGTATCTTTTGCAAACAACACATGAAAATAAAACACTTTAACAAAATAAAAAAATGATATTAAAATGAATCACTTTCCTTTCCCCCCTTTGGTTTCATCAAAAAATATAACTATCACAAAA